ATAATAATATAATAATAATAATAATAATAATAATAATAATAATATTTACTACCAGTACATGTACAAGGTATACAGACCATAGTTGACATCAGTGATATACTACTATATAGAAAGTCGCTTGTTATACTGAGCATTTCCCGCAAATTAGGTCAGTTTTGTCCCAGGATGCGACCCACACCAGTCCACTAACACCCAGGATGTGACCCACACCAGTCCACTAACACCCAGGATGTGACCCACACCAGTCCACTAACACCCAGGATGCGACCCACACTAGTCCACTAACACCCAGGATGTGACCCACACCAGTCCACTAACACCCAGGATGTGACCCACACCAGTCCACTAACACCCAAGATGCGACCCACACCAGTCCACTAACACCCAGGATGTGACCCACACCAGTCCACTAACACCCAGGATGCGACCCACACCAGTCCACTAACACCCAGGATGTGACCCACACCAGTCCACTAACACCCAGGATGCGACCCAAACAAGTCCACTAACACCCAGGATGTGACCCACACCAGTCCACTAACACCCAGGATGCGACCCAAACAAGTCCACTAACACCCAGGATGTGACCCACACCAGTCCACTAACACCCAGGATGTGACCCACACCAGTCCACTAACACCCAGGATGTGACCCACACCAGTCCACTAACACCCAGGATGCGACCCACACCAGTCCACTAACACCCAGGATGTGACCCACACCAGTCCACTAACACCCAGGATGTGACCCACACCAGTCCACTAACACCCAGGATGTGACCCACACCAGTCCACTAACACCCAGGATGTGACCCACACCAGTCCACTAACACCCAGGATGCGACCCACACCAGTCCACTAACACCCAGGATGTGACCCACACCAGTCCACTAACACCCAGGATGTGACCCACACCAGTCCACTAACACCCAGGATGTGACCCACACCAGTCCACTAACACCCAGGATGTGACCCACACCAGTCCACTAACACCCAGGATGCGACCCACACCAGTCCACTAACACCCAGGATGTGACCCACACCAGTCCACTAACACCCAGGATGTGACCCACACCAGTCCACTAACACCCAGGATGCGACCCACACCAGTCCACTAACACCCAGGTACCCATTTTACTGATGGTGAAGATAGACAACAGGTGTAAAGAAACACGCCTAATGTTTCTACCCTAGCTGGGAATCGAACCCGGATCCTCGCCGTGTGAAGCAAGAGTTTTAACCACCAGGCCACGGGGCGTTGAAAGTCTGAAGCCGATATGAAGAATCATTCAACTAATAGCACAGAAACAAATACTTCATTTTAAATATAATTAGCATATTAAAGATAATTAGCACGTTAAATATGCTTAACATATTACAAAAGCAATCCGAACCTTTATTTAAGTGATACACTCTAGTACTGAAGGTTTAAAGTCGGTTACCACAAATATTATCTAGTTAATGACGGGGAACAAATAGCATGATTTATATAATACAATTGACAATTTGATATTTAATCCAATAACAATGCAAAATAAATCACCAGAATTGTCCAGTTATTGCACGGAAACTCTTATTTAATTGGTAATTCAGAATCCACTCGAACAGCTCACACTTAAGGGCACGTCAGTTTTACTGTCTTCTAATGCTATATTACTTTTTATATATATAATATAATTATATATAATATTATATATTATATATATATATATATATATATATATATATATATATAAAATATATATATATATATATATTAATAATTATGGGGTATGTGGAATATTATTATCACCTATTTGTGTGCTGGGGCCAGTTAGTCCTGGTGCCCCTACTGTTGTATAGGTCTCTTACCTGCTCCATGGCTATTATCAACTCGTCTTTTGTGGTTAGGTTCCGCTCCATAGTACTTCTGGCCCCCGCCCAACTGCTTGACTAGGAATCCTTCCCTACTGGTATGTGGGTGCCTCCGAATGAGCTTTGGTCACCTGGCTTACAATCATAAAATTAAGTTTCCTCCCTTCCACTTTCGTGACGAATCTATTTCTCCCTGACAACTCTATGACTGAAGAAATACTTCCTAACATGTGTTATGGTTGGTGTGATGAGCGCCTCACCGACATGAAGGTCTCTTGGTGCCCGTGAGGCACTCACAACTCATAAAATTAAATTTCTCCTTCCTTTCGTTGGACGGAATCTAATTGTCTCCCAAATGCCAGGCGCTATATGACCCTTACGTGTCTAGCGCTCCCCCCCCCTTCCCGTGAAATAAGTAGATCTAATAATCGGTATAATAATGAGTATCACAACACAATGTAGTTGGAAGGTACGAGGATTTATACTCCGTGTGAAGCATCTGGGTGTCTTTATTTCTGTAAAGTAAAAGGACACAAGTGCAACTAATGTGACATTCTATTGTGGCAACTTTTCGCTCTCCAGGAGCTTTATCAAGCCATTACAAACAATACAACGAACGAACGAACGAACGAAAGTTCAGGTAAGATCCCAAATGGGATGAGCGGGGAAGACGGGACAGACGAAGAATAGTGCTGGAGAGGAGTGTTCTTAGTCGTAGAAATAGAGCCAGGGCTTAACCCAGCAGCGAGGCGATCGTGGGACAGATATTGAGAGGAGAAATTCAGGCTCTTCTGTTGGGACTCCGGTGGGGTGAGCGGGAAGGAAGGGACATGCGACGTTTAGAGCTAGAGAGGAGTGTAGAACTGAGCCATGTCTTAACCCAAAGGGTAAGGCGAACGTGGATCAGAGAATGGTACCTGTCATAGAAGGTACCACAACACAATGAATGAGTTGGTATGAGGGTATATATAGGCTCAGAGTGAGGTGCAATACTAGTGGTAGTAGTAGCAGTAGTAGTAGTAATACAATATGTTAGAACAATTAACTTGCACATGAGTAAAAGGATATAAAAGCTATTACTTGGGTAACATAAAAATAGGTTAACATATATTTCTATTGGAGGCTGGATAGAGGTCTGTTTCAGTGTTCATTTTCTGTAATGTGTTTGTGTGAACATTAAAATGGTATAAAATACCGACAGGTTGTTAGGTAAGACACATTTGCAACAGTTAGGTATCTTTATTATGAAACGTTTCGTCTACACAGTAGGCTTCTTCAGTCGAGTACAGAAAAGTTGATAGAAGCAGAAGAGACTTGAAGACGATGTAATCAGTCCATCACCCTTAAAGTTTTGAGGTGGTCAGTCCCTCAGTCTAGAGAAGAGCATTGTTTCATAGTCTGAAACAATATGGAGTTGAAGTGACAGGATGGAGCCTTATATAGTGCCAGGAGGTGAGACGTAGGTCACTAGTAGAACGCAGATGTTGGGAGGTCAGGTCCCTCTCAAATCCAGCCGTTCTCACTAGTAGAGGTTGTCGAAGTTGAATGCAGGTCTGTACCAAGATACCCTTGTGTTGCAGTGTCTGACAGAATGAACATTAAAATGGTATAAAATACCGGCAGGTTGTTAGGTAAGACAAAATAAAGATACCTAACTGTTGCATATGTGTCTTACCTAACAACCTGTCGGTATTTTATACCATTTTAATGTTCATTCTGTCAGACACTGCAACACAAGGGTATCTTGGTACAGACCTGCATTCAACTTCGACAACCTCTACTAGTGAGAACGGCTGGATTTGAGAGGGACCTGACCTCCCAACATCCGCGTTCTACTAGTGACCTACGTCTCACCTCCTGGCACTATATAAGGCTCCATCCTGTCACTTCAACTCCATATTGTTTCAGACTATGAAACAATGCTCTTCTCTAGACTGAGGGACTGACCACCTCAAAACTTTTAGGGTGATGGACTGATTACATCGTCTTCAAGTCTCTTCTGCTTCTATCAACTTTTCTGTACTCGACTGAAGAAGCCTACTGTGTAGGCGAAACGTTTCGAAATAAAGATACCTAACTGTTGCATATGTGTCTTACCTAACAATGTGTTTGTGTAGTATAACAGGAGAGACTGTGTGATGGCAGGTTTACTGTTTTCAGGAGGTTTCTTGCTAAGACTTCAGAGATGGTGAAGCTGCCGTTGTTTTGTTTAATTGTATTAGAAACAGCTATTAGTGGAGATTCAAGACACTTGCGTCTGCGGAAATTAGTTTCTTTGATCACTAGTTGGGCGTCTCTGAATTTCATGAGATGACTGGTGGAATTTCGGTGTTGTACACAGGCGTTGTTCAAGTTATCGTTCCTACATGCGTAAATGTGTTCATTGAGGCGGGTGTCTTTATTTGTGAAACCGTGTGGCCACATAGAGGCTTTGTCAATTCACTACAGAGATGATGTAGGGAAGACAGTATTATTATTATTATTAAGGGGGAAGCGCTAAACCCGGAGGATTATACAGCGCCTGGGGGGAGGATGTGGAAGGCATTCAGGCTTAATTCGGGGAACTGGAGCACAGATTCAATTCCCTAAATCAAGAGCTCCTCACCAACATCAAGGAACCTTCCCTGAGGGGGGGAAGACAGTAAGAAACGAGGTATTCAGTCCCTGAGACTCGATGAACGTGATCGTTGAGGCTTGTAACACTGCTGACACCATCTATCCAGTGGCTTCTTCTGTATAATTTTCATTTTATCCGAGTTTATTGTATTGCGTTCAAATGGATTGTATTTTGTTCAGTTACATTGTATTTTGTCCAAGTGCATTGTGTTTTGTCCAAGTACACTGCATTTCGTTTAAGTACATTGTATTTTGTCGAGTATATTTTATTTTGTCTAAATTGTATTTTGCCCAATTACATTGTATTTTGTCCAAGTACATTGTATTTTGTCCGAGTATATTGTATTTTGCCAATATACGTTGTATTTTGTCAAAGTATATAGTAATTTGAAACCAAAACATTCTACATTTCATTGCATGAATTCCAATTGAGGGACTTAAAGAACATCACACACATTTGTTTTATTAGTGAGAGACTTTACTTACGCTTCGGAATGAAAATATAACCGATTATATATCCCTAATCTGCAGGATAAGAACAGCTGGATATACTTTGTCTGGAAGTCAGTACTTCAGTATATACACACAACGACTTGGTTTACAAAGACACGTGAGCAAATACAAGGAGATTCATTGGTAAAAATCGGTCCTGGGACCTTGATCACTTCTAACATATGCAGGTAACAACAGCAACAACAAGAGAGAATAGGTAAGACCCCAGCGAGGTGAGCGGGGAAGTGGGGATTGTGGAAGAATACGTAGATAGGTGAGAGGAAGATTTGCGAGTGGAAGGGATAGTACCCTAACCCAGTCGCTAGGCAGAGAGAGGCTCAGGAGTTCTGGACGCGGAAAGGAATGCAAGGCTCAGGGGACATACGAAGGTTAATTAAGAAGACAGTTTATGTAGGTGGAGAGTGGTGTGTGAGTGACACATGGTGACCTGTCTTCTTGTGTTTCCTCACGTGTCTTTCTATACCAGTTTGTTGGTATCTGTTACCGTGTACTGGCGATGCTGAGAGCCTTGACTGAGTTTGTTTTCTTAAGACCATTAAATATAGAAACTATCGTGGTAATGTCGGTGCCCATGAGGACGATAACCTTGTCCACCATAGCCTGCAAAGCCTCTGTAGCCTCCGTAGCCTCCGTAGCCTCCGTAGCCGCCATTGGGACTGCTTAATCCTTGTATGACGATATTAACTTCACGGCTTTGAAAACCATTCCCATAACCAAGACTAAGTTGAGGATCAGCTACAGCCTCAGGGTCGGGCAGGGCCACAGGGTCGGGCAGGGCCACAGGGTCGGGCAGGGCCTCAGGGTCGGGCAGGGCCTCAGGGTCGGGCAGGGCCACCACCAGCGTCAGGCACAGGACTACTGCTACTAGTGTCTGGGGAAGAAGATAACAACAATTAAATTTGTTATAAACTTTAGCGCAATTATAAGATGTTTTTCTGTGGGTGAGCGAGCCAAGAGAACTGTCCTAGGAATCTGTGGGTGAGCGAGCCAAGAGAACTGTCCTAGGAATCTGTGGGTGAGCGAGCCAAGAGAACTGTCCTAGGAATCTGTGGGTGAGCGAGCCAAGAGAACTGTCCTAGGAATCTGTGGGTGAGCGAGCCAAGAGAACTGTCCTAGGAATCTGTGGGTGAGCGAGCCAAGAGAACTGTCCTAGGAATCTGTGGGTGAGCGAGCCAAGAGAACTGTCCTAGGAATCTGTGGGTGAGCGAGCCAAGAGAACTGTCCTAGGAATCTGTGGGTGAGCGAGCCAAGAGAACTGTCCTAGGAATCTGTGGGTGAGCGAGCCAAGAGAACTGTCCTAGGAATCTGTGGGTGAGCGAGCCAAGAGAACTGTCCTTGGAATCTGTGGGTGAGCGAGCCAAGAGAACTGTCCTAGGAATCTGTGGGTGAGCGAGCCAAGAGAACTGTCCTAGGAATCTGTGGGTGAGCGAGCCAAGAGAACTGTCCTAGGAATCTGTGGGTGAGCGAGCCAAGAGAACTGTCCTAGGAATCTGTGGGTGAGCGAGCCAAGAGAGCTGTCCTAGGAATCTGTGGGTGAGCGAGCCAAGAGAACTGTCCTAGGAATCTGTGGGTGAGAGAGCCAAGAGAGCTGTTCTAGGAATCTGTGGGTGAGCGAGCCAAGAGAACTGTCCTAGGAATCTGTGGGTGAGCGAGCCAAGAGAACTGTCCTAGGAATCTGTGGGTGAGCGATCCAAGAGAACTGTCCTAGGAATCTGTGGGTGAGCGAGCCAAGAGAACTGTCCTAGGAATCTGTGGGTGAGAGAGCCAAGAGAACTGTCCTAGGAATGTGTGGGTGAGAGAGCCAAGAGAACTGTCTTAGGAATCTGTGGGTGAGAGAGCCAAGAGAGCTGTTCTAGGAATCTGTGGGTGAGCGAGCCAAGAGAACTGTCCTAGGAATCTGTGGGTGAGCGAGCCAAGAGAACTGTTCTAGGAATCTGTGGGTGAGCGAGCCAAGAGAACTGTCCTAGGAATCTATAACAGCAAAATACGGCGCCTCAACCCACAAGGACACCAGTGGAAATAAGTCAAGGACACCAGTGGAAATAAGGACACCAATGGAAATAAGTCAAGGACACCAGTGGAAATAAGTCAAAGACACCAATGGAAATAAGGACACTAATGGAAATAAGTCAAGGACACCAATGGAAACAAGTTAAGGACACCAGTGGAAATTAGCCAAAAACACCAATGGAAATAAGTCAAAGACACCAATGGAAATAAGGACACCAATGGAAATAAGTCAAGGACACCAGTGGAAATTAGCCAAGGACACCAATGGAAATAAGTCAAAGACACCAATGGAAATAAGGACACAAATGGAAATAAGTCAAGGACACCAATGGAAATAAGTCAAAGACACCAATGGAAATAAGGACACCAGTGGAAATAAGTCAAAGATACCAATGGAAATAAGGACACAAATGGAAATAAGTCAAGGACACCAATGGAAATAAGTCAAAGACAGCAATGGAAATAAGGACACCAGTGGAAATAAGTCAAAGACACCAATGTAAATTAGTCAAGGACACCAGTGGAAATAAATCACATCGTCTGATTTTTGGGAAGTTATCCTGGGTAACTAACACATATGTTAGCATGCAAAATAACCATTTTGAAAAAAAATAGTGAACTTCCAAGCGCTTTCGTGATTTCTTACATTATCGAGGAATTGTGAGAAATCACGAAAGCGCTTGAAAGTTCATTATTTTTTCACAGTATTTGTTTTTATATTGTGATATCAGCTGTTTGATCTTATTGTATTTGTTACTGTGTATTTATTGTATATGTTACTGTGTATTTATTGTATATGTTACTGTGTATTTATTGTATTTGTTACTGTGTATTTATTGTATATGTTACTGTGTATTTATTGTATATGTTACTGTGTATTTATTGTATATGTTACTGTGTATTTATTGTATTTGTTACTGTGTATTTATTGTATATGTTACTGTGTATTTATTGTATATGTTACTGTGTATTTATTGTATTTGTTACTGTGTATTTATTGTATATGTTACTGTGTATTTATTGTATATGTTACTGTGTATTTATTGGCTTATTGTTCACTTTGTTTTTAAATTCTTGAAGAATTAAGACACTTTTGCAGCATTTGGGAATCTTCATTGTGGAAACGTCTCAGCAACAAATGGCTTCGTCAGTCCGGTATAGAGATGAATGGTGGAAGATGAAGAGTTTGAGGTAATCAGTCCCTCAATTGTAGGCGAAACGTTTCCTCAAAAAAAATCTAATTCTTCAATTTGTCGGTTTTCTAAGCCATTTATGTCACTTCATATCCTTGTTGAGGCTAGACTGTCTAATCCTCCCCATCTTTGGTCTACACCTACTTCTTCACCTATTTAAACTAACCAACCATCCAGTTTGTCTAAATATCGGAACAGAACAGAAGGGACTCACAGGCAGGGACCCACTAGGGGCGAGGGGGAAGTGGGGATAGTTGAAGAATAGGTGGGGGAGAGGAAAAGAGTCGGGGCTAAACCCAACAGTAACAGCCTGGTTGATCAGGCCCTGATCCACCATGAGGTCTGGTCACAGACCGGGCCGCGGGGGCATTCCCCCCCTCGAAACCCTCTCCAGGTAACCGCAAGGTATTGTAAAGTATTAATAGGGCATCTTTATAGGTCATGTGCTGCTGCCACCGTCAGTAGATTAGCACAACGACCTGAACACAAGAAACAGTCTAAATATCATCATCTAGAACCACGTGTTCTTAGCCTATATACAATACAATTATTCCTCAATTTCTGACCCAGTTTGCAAAGCGATTACTTGCCAACTTCTTGGGAACTTCCCGGCCTTTTATATGTATTGCGTTCATTATTCCTCTTAGACAGTGTTTTTTATTTTCATGCTGACTTCCCTTAAAACGCAAATTATATTTTGGAATGTTTGATCCCTTTTACAAATATGTCTAGAGTTGTTTCCTACTCAATTAATATATCCGGTTACACCTGGTGTCGTGTCCAGCATGATACAATAGAAACCTTGTGATTCTACTGTTAAAGGTATAACTTTGCACGTATAAGACTCCACTAGGATCTGAGTCAAACGTTCTCATCTGTATATTACGTGCTACGTGTTACTTTCTCTGCGCCAAGCAACTTCAGCATCATTTAATGTAAAAACAAAGAGAATGTCTGAAGCAGCGGTCATCTCGCACAAGCTGTCGTGGCCCTTAGTAACCTCATCAATAACAACAACAATCGTAAAAATATTTTCTACATACTCAGGCTGTGAGATGCGATTTCTCGTTACCTAAATACAAGTGAACTTACCACTTTCATGTTGATAGAGAAGGTCGTACTGGGACTGCTGCTGTCGGATGTCTAAAGAAGTGATGGAAGTCTTCCAGTCTTATATACAGTACACACAGGTGAGGGAGCAGAGGACAATGGGGTTCTGAACTTGTTTAGGCTCACGGATATTCATCTCGGTAGTAGCCACTGCATGAATATTTTCTTTTTATTTAATTACTGTTATATCTTCTTTATTTGACTGAAAATTTCATCCTCTGTCCAGTTGATTTTAATATAATTATGTTTTAGCTAATTTTCTTCTCCCCATCTTTAACTGATTCCTACTTATTTAAAACGACATTATCTTTTTATACTTGTTGAAGCCCGAGGTGGACGACGCTGCACTCGTTGTTCTCAGTTGGTAGTATTGTGACAGAACAACAACCCATACAACAATACCTTTTTTCAGGGTTTCCCCGGGTTAGTTATATAATTATAAACCACAATACAATACTCTTCTACAGTCAGCTGACTCCTGTGATTGGCGGGGAGAGGATCACGTGGTCCATAATTAAGTATATCTCGAAGGATATGCATTATGATGGTGTTAGTCTCTGAGCTCAGACCTCTGCAACATAATTGTCATCAGTGATTTGTTAAGTTATGCCATGAATTAAGGAAAGATCCTGGACTTCACCTTACGAAACAGACAAAGCAAATGTGATAGTAATTATAGACACGGTAGATTATAGTGGAAAAATAACATTATTAGAAGAGAGGGGAACTGGCGTGCCCCTTAAGGCGTCACTCTTTGCTCGTGTAGACATTACTGGAAGAAGGATCAAGGAGGAGTTTAAAGCCAGAGCGAGTCTTGAAGACATTTATGAAAGGAACCTGGGTGATTTCAGAGCAAAAGTCGGCAGAGTCATAGTTATGGTGAGGGGTCACTGGGCATTTGTCATAGTGACAACAGCAAGGACAGAGTCTAAAAAAAAAAAAAGACGGAGAAAGTGACTGGAGGAGTCAAACGTATTTACTGGGAAACTGATATGAAACCATCCAAACCATGAGTAGTCATCCATACATAAAACACAAGCGAGGATAACCACTAAAGGAACCGTACGGACGGTGACAAACACCCAAGCATGAATGTAGATCCGTCTGATTAGCCCAGAAGGAAAAGAAGTGCAGAGAAAAGATAAAAAAAACTCTGGTGCTATCCAAGAAAGGGAGTCTCCCGGATCCACTGAATGGGTATCTTTAAGCACTTCCTTGAAGAAAGCTCGACTTTTCCTAGGAAAATCACAACGTAAATAAACACACACAAAAAGATGAGGTTAATAAAAGAAATATGTTAAAAAAAGACCGGGTGAAAAAAATAGATATTGTTGCTCTAATTACTGGAAACGAAGTCGGTCATTTTCCAGTACTGGAACACACGTACCCGTGATGGACTGAACACATCCACTCAAGGCTAAGGGACTAATTACCTCAAACTCCCACTCATCTTCCACCACTCATCTCTGTACCGAACTGAAGAAGCCACTTGTTGGCGAAACGTTTCCACAATATTCTTAAATGTTGCAAAAGTTTCTAATTATTCAACTTATCGATTTTCTAAACTATCTATATCATATATGTTACAAGTTACTTTAATATGTTTATTCTGCACCCCATACCCATCCTGTACCTTAACATTACAAAGGTACATCATGGGTCCAGGGACTGTACCTCAACATTACAGAGGCACACCATGGGTCCAGGGACTGTACCTCAACATTACAGAGGCACATCATGGGTCCAGTTACTGTACCTCAACATTACAGAGGTACATCATGGGTCCAGGTACTGTACCTCAACATTACAGAGGTACATCATGGGTCCAGGGATTGTACCTCAACATTACAGAGGTACATCATGGGTCCAGTTACTGTACCTCAACATTACAGAGGTACATCATGGGTCCAGGGACTGTACCTCAACATTACAGAGGCACATCATGGGTCCAGTTACTGTACCTCAACATTACAGAGGCACACCATGGGTCCAGGGACTGTACCTCAACATTACAGAGGCACATCATGGGTCCAGTTACTGTACCTCAACATTACAGAGGTACATCATGGGTCCAGGTACTGTACCTCAACATACAGAGGTACATCATGGGTCCAGGATTGTACCTCAACATTACAGAGGTACATCATGGGTCCAGGGACTGTACCTCAACATTACAGAGGCACACCATGGGTCCAGGGACTGTACCTCAACATTACAGAGGTACATCATGGGTCCAGTTACTGTACCTCAACATTACAGAGGTACATCATGGGTCCAGGTACTGTACCTCAACATTACAGAGGTACATCATGGGTCCAGGGATTGTACCTCAACATTACAGAGGTACATCATGGGTCCAGGGACTGTACCTCAACATTACAGAGGCACACCATGGGTCCAGGGACTGTACCTCAACATTACAGAGGTACATCATGGGTCCAGGGACTGTACCTCAACATTACAGAGGCACATCATGGGTCCAGGGACTGTACCCCAACATTACAGAGGCACATCATGGGTCCAGGACTGTACCTCAACATTACAGAGGTGCATCATGGGTCCAGGGACTGTACCCCAACATTACAGAGGTGCATCATGGGTCCAGGGACTGTACCTCAACATTACAGAGGTACATCATGGGTCCAGGGACTGTACCTCAACATTACAGAGGCACATCATGGGTCCAGGGACTGTACCCCAACATTACAGAGGCACATCATGGGTCCAGGGACTGTACCTCAACATTACAGAGGCACATCATGGGTCCAGGGACTGTACCCCAACATTACAGAAGCACATCATGGGTCCAGGGACTGTACCTCAACATTACAGAGGCACATCATGGGTCCAGGGACTGTACCTCAACATTACAGAGGCACATCATGGGTCCAGGGACTGTACCTCAACATTACAGAGGTACATCATGGGTCCAGGGACTGTACCTCAACATTACAGAGGTACATAATGGATCCAGGGACTGTACCTCAACATTACAGAGGTACATAATGGGTCCAGGGAAACCAAAATTAAGGCATTGTTTGTGTCCGTCCTGGACAGGACTCGAAGGTTTTGTGAACTCGAGGATCCTCTCCTATATGTGAGTCATCGGTGTATTGTGCCATCTGTAGTGTTGTGAATTGTTCCAGCTGCAGTATTGTGAATTGTACCAGCAGCAGTGTTGTGAATTGTACCAGCAGTAGTGTTGTGAATTGTTCCAGCAGCAGTGTTGTGAATTGTTCCAGCTGCAGTGTTGTGAACTGTTCCAGCTGCAGTGTTGTGAATTATTCCAGATGCAGGATTATGAATTGATCCAGTTACAATATTGTGAGTTGTTCTAACTGTAGCATTGTGAAGGTTGTAACCAGCTTATGTTGTGAATACGTTATGGCCATGTATTGTGAACTGTTCCAGTGCATAGATGTATCAGCACAGTATTGTGAATTGTACCAGCTGCAGGTTGTGAAATTAGTTCCAGCACAGCGTTAAATTGTCTTGCTTACGTAACTGTTCACCTCATTTCGTAATTATGCGTGCGGGGATTATAAATTCATAGCTACATTTGGCCTGCCTTTAGCTTTGACTGATCGCACTAAGTCAACTGACCTCTATTGTCCATGAGCTTTTTCCTGTTAGCTTAAAGCTACAGTATATGTAAATTGAAATCCACTGCACTGTCCAAGTATTCCACTACCCTGTAATGAACTATGCTACAGAGTACTTGTAAACTCACTCTTACACAATTGAGTTGCTTCGATTCAGTTGGCCCCCCTCTTCCTATCTCTAACATCCGTCTCTCTCCTGCAATGACAATTTCTACCTCATTAAAGTATATGGTCTAATCATGTCATCCCAAAGTCCCTCCTTAGACCTCTATGACTGAAGGTCATTCCCTAAACCTTTTACACATTACTTCACTTCCGGGACTCAGTTTGTTGTCAAATCTCTGGCACCTTCTCTCTAATTATTCTTCATGTTTATCAGTGTGTCTTTCCCAATGTTTGCCTGCATCTCAGATATTTGACCTTACCTACTGGGTGGACATGCCTTAGTGCCACTAGTCTTGTGCCAACGCACTACTCTAACGGTGCTTGACACATGGGGTACAAAGTGCATACTCCGATAATGCCTGACGTACACGGTGTACCGTGCCTGACGTACACGGTGTTGGGTGCCGGGCGACACGGTGTAACGTGCCTGCGTACATGGTGTACAGTGCCTGAGACACGGTGTACTGTATACCGTGTGCCTGACGTACACGGTGTACCAGTGCCTGGCGACACTGTGTATAGTGCTGACATACACGGTGTACAGTGCCTGACGAAACACGGTGTACCGTCCTGACGTACACGGTGTACAGTGCCTGACGACACGGTGTACCGTGCCTGACATACACGGGTACAGTGCCTGACGTACACGGTGTACCGTGCCTGACGTACAGGGTTTGTACAATGCCTGAGTGCACGGGGTGTACCGTGCCTGACTACACGGTGTACAGTGCCTGACATACACGGTGTACAGTGCCTGACGTACACGGTGTACAGTGCCTGACGTACATGGTGTACCGTGCCTGACGTACACGGTGTACAGTGCCTGACGAACACGGTGTACCGTGCCTGACGTACACGGTGTACCGTGCCTGGCGTACACGGTGTATAGTGTCTGGCGTACACGGTGTACAGTGCCTGACGAACACGGTGTACCGTGCCTGACGTACACGGTGTACAGTGCCTGACGTACACGGTGTACCGTGCCTGACATACACGGCGTACAGTGCCTGACGTACACGGTGTACCGTGCCTGACGTACACGGTGTACAGTGCCTGACGTACACGGTGTACCGTGCCGGGCACAACGGTGTACAGTGCCTGACAACACGGTGTACCGTGCCTGACGTACATGGTGTACAGTGCCTGACGTACACGGTGTACAGTGCCTGACGTACACGGTGTACCGTGCCTGACGTACATGGTGTACCGTCCTGACGTACACGGTGTACCGTGCCTGACGTACACGGTGTACAGTGCCTGAACACACGGTGTACAGTGCCTGACATACACGGTGTACAGTGCCTGACGTACACGGTGTACCGTGCCTGACGTACATGGTGTACAGTGCCTGACGTACACGGTGTACAGTGCCTGACGTACATCGGTGTACAGTGCCTGAGGGGTAACGTACACGGTGTACCGTGCCTGACGTACATGGTGTACAGTGCCTGACGTACACGGTGTACCGTGCCTGACGTACATGGTGTACAGTGCCTGACGTACACGGTGTACCGTGCCTGACGTACATGGTGTACAGTGCCTGACGTACACGGTGTACCGTGCCTGACTACAACGATGTCCCATGCTTGACACACACGGTGTACCGTGCCTGACATACACGGTGTACAGTGCCTGACGTACACGGTGTACAGTGCCTGACGTACACGGTGTACAGTGCCTGACGTACACGGTGTACCGTGCCTGACGTACACGATGTACAGTGCCTGACGTACACGGTGTACAGTGCCTGACGTACACGGTGTACAGTGCCTGACGTACACGGTGTACAATGCCTCACGAACACGGTGTACCGTGCCTGACGTACATGGTGTACAGTGCCTGACGATCACGGTGTACCGTGCCTGACACACACGGTGCACAGTGCCTGACGTACACGGTGTACCGTGCCTGACGTACACGGTGTACAGTGCCTGACGTACACGGTATACAGTGCCTGACGAACACGGTGTACCGTGCCTGACGTACACGGTGTACAGTGCCTGACGTACACGGTGTACAGTGCCTGACGTCACGGTGTACCGTGCCTGACGTACCCCGGTGTACAGTGCCTCACGAACACGGTGTACCGTGCCTGACGTACACGGTGTACCGTGCCTGACGTACACGGTGTACCGTGCCTGACGTACACGGTGTACCGTGCCTGACGTACACGGTGTACAGTGCCTGACGTACACGGTGTGCCGTGCCTGACGTACACGGTGTACCGTGCCTGACGTACACGGTGTACCGTGCCTGACGTACACGGTGTACGTGCCTGACGTACACGGTGTCCCGTGCCTGACGTACAGGGTGTACAGTGCCTGCACGTACACGGTGTACGTGCCTGACGTACACGTGTACCGTGCCTGACGTACACGGTGTACCAGTGCCTGACGTACACCGTGTACCAGTGCCTGACGTACACGGTGTACCGTGCCTGACAACACGGTGTACAGTGCCTGACGACACGGTGTACCGTGCCTGACGTACACGGTGTACCGTGCCTGACGTACACGGTGTACCGTGCCTGACACACACGGTGTACAGTGCCTGACGTACACGGTGTACAGTGCCTGACGACACGTGTGTAAGCATTTTATTAGTACACGTGTAAATGACTGAACATCAACCGGAGGTACCATCCTGACGTAGTGTTACCGTTGCCAGTACATGTAGTGCTGGATACCAGGTTGTCACCGTGACGACCTACATGTTTAGTTTACACTGTACCCAGTCAGGTGTGCTGAGTGAACATTTCCACAACCGTGACGCACCTACGTGTTTTTTACATCTTACCAGTAAATGTGCTGGAACCAATGTTCTCACCCCTGACGCACCTACGTGTTTGTTTACATCTTACCAGTCAGTGTGCTGGAACCATGTTCTCACCCCTTACGCACCTACGTGTTTGTTTACATCTTACCAGTCAGTGTGCTGGAACCATGTTCTCACCCCTGACGCACCTACGTGTTTGTTTACATCTTACCAGTCAGTGTGCTGGAACCATGTTCTCACCCCTGACGCAGAAACGTTCACCAATGTCTTATATCCGTTTTACTTGCCCCCAAATCCGCCAAAAGCCACCGCCAGATTCGATATTCCCGCCGTATCCTTCGTAGCCTTCAAGATTAGCTGGAGTCTGGCTATCTGGCGAGCAAAACTAGCTGGAGTCTGACTATCTGGCGACCAAAACTAGCTGGAATCTGGCTAGCAAAACTAGCTGGATCTTCGGCTATACTGAGTCTGGTACAAAAATCTAGCTTGGGAGGTTCTGGCTATCTCTAACTCTCTCTGGATAGCTGAGGTCAGTTAAAGGTTCTTGTTTCACCTTGATGCGTCTCCCACCACACTACAGCTTGCAGGAAATGTTTTAAGCTAGTACCATGGATAATGGGAAAGATGGGAGTATAAATGGAATTCTACCACCATCACCACCACTACCACTACCACTAGCATCACTACCACTACCCCCACCATCACAACCACCACCACAACCCCACCATCACTGCCACTACCTCTACCATCACTACCACTACAACCACCACCAACACCATAACTACCATTACTTGCACTTGTACAGTTGCCACCACTATGCTCTTAGCCCAGTTTGTTAGTGGACAGTCTCGTTGATTATGTTAATGTAGTGTGTGTGTGTGTGTGTGTACTCGTTATTTGTGGCTAGACCTATTTTGTGTTTGCTAACATCTAAAGGCTGCACACCCTCTGTATAACAATTTTACTTAAAAACACCCTTTTTTCTCTCCCCCCCCATGGCTATATCAAACCTGCGCCTGTGAAAACTGGTGTATGGTTCTTTGCTGGTCAAACATACTCAATTTTTACTATTCCACTGCTTACCCATGCCCCTAAAAAGTAACTCCTCACCCTGACTCATTTGGGTGTTTTAATTTAATTGTGGCCTTTGTTACTGGGGGTCCCTTTTCCCTGGGAGACCCTGTTTGGTCCCTTGTCTATTCCACGCAGTATTTTATTGGCCCGTTATCATGTCTCCCTGACCCTCCTGTCCTCCAGTGCTGGTCAGGCCGATTTCCCTTAAAAATCTTTCCTCATAGGACATTCCCTTAGTCTGGAACTAACCTTGTCCAAACCATTTGTACTTTCTCTAGGATTCTTGACGTGCTTTATCAAAGTGCGTTTCCAAACAGGTGCTGCATACTCCAGTATGGGCCTGACATACACGGTGTACAGTGTCTTGAATGATTCTTACTAAGTATCGGAATGCTGTTCTCAGTTTGCCAGGCGCCCATATGCTGCAGCAGTTTCTGATTGATGTGTGCTTCCGGAGACATGCTCGGTGTTATACTCACCCCAAGATCTTTCTCCTTGATGAGGTTTGCAGTCTTTGGCCACCTAGAGTATACTCTGTCTGTGGTCTTCTGTGCCCTCCCCCATCTTCATGACTTTGCATTTGGCAGGATTAAATTCGAGAAGCCATTTGCTGGACAGGTGCCAGTCTGTCCAGTCTCTTTGAAGTCCTGCCTGGTCCTCATCAGATTTAATCTCCTCATTAACTTCACATCATCTGCAAACAGGGACACTTCTGAGTCTAACCCTTCCGTCATGTCGTTCACATATACCAAAAATAGCACTGGTCCTAGGACCGACCCCTGTGGGACCCCGCTCGTCACAGGTGCCCACTGTGATACATCATTACGTACCATGACTCGTTGTTGCCTCCCTGTCAGGTATTCTCTGATCCATTGCAGTGCCCTTCCTGTTATATGCGCCTGGTGCTCTAGCTTCTGCACTAATCTCTTGTGAGGAACTGTGTGTGTGTGTGTGTGTGTGTGTGTGTGTGGCCTAGAAACAGCTCCATGTTACCACTGTGTAACTACTGAAACTAACATATAAAATAGGGTAGCAACACACTACTGATATATACAATTTTACTCTAAAAACAACAACAGCTTATTAGTTCTTCTCCGTTTTTCCCTCATTAGGAAAACAGATAAGAATGGCCTGTGAGACCTGGTCGTAGTGGTCGTAGTGGTCGTAATGGGAAATGGAGCAAACAAAACTCAATGGTAGACTATAATTTATATATGCCACCCTGGGGGAGCTACCCATGAACAAAACCATCACCAAAAGTGAAGCTCCAGTCACCCTGGGGGAGCTACTTCGCATGTGTTTTATTTAATTGTCAGTGTTAATCAGCATTTGTAAGCTGAGAGAGAGGTTGGCCTCTTAACCGCTGGGGAGGAGCTGTTAGGACCAATGTATTAACACATCGACTCCAGGCTGAGGGACTGAATGCCTCAAACTCCACTTCTTCTACCGTTCTTCTCTGTATTTGACTGGAGAAGCCACTGGCTGGCGAAACGTTTCCTCAGTAAAAATTCCCAAATATTACCCAAGTGTCTCATTCTTCAACTTGTCGGTTTATTAAACCAGCTACTAAATCACAAGAATATTGCTGAATATTTCACGTTGTAGGAACTTTTACGTTCTATACATTAAGTGAAAAAAAAACACGTTTTAAGAATCAAGAGTTTTTATTGTCTCTTTTGCGAGCCAAAATAATAAATAGAAAATATAAATTAAAATTAGGATTTGAGAGGAGTGTCTTACATGGATTCGTAAGTCATTACGACGTAAACAGTTGATAAGAATCAATTGTTACACGATATATCAACAAAGACTCGGTAGATCCAGGTGCAGGCAAAGACACGGAGAACCATGAGAGAGTTGATAACGGCATTAACCATAGAAACCATAGCGGCGATGGTGGCCATAACCGCCGTAATAGGGACGATAGCCGTATCCACCGTAGCCCCCGAAGCCTCCGAAGCCGCCGCCAAAGCCTCCGTAGCCGCCGTAACCCCCGTAACCACCATAGCCTCCGTAGCCGCCATAGCCTCCGTAGCCATAACGACGGTGATAATGAGGATCAGCTTCAGCGTCAGGGTCTCCCTCAGGGTCAGGCAGGGCATCAGGGTCAGGGAGGGCATCAGGGTAAGGTAGGGCATCAGGGTAAGGTAGGGCATCAGGGCCGGGCAGGGCATCAGGGCCGGGCAAGGCCAGGGCTACTCCCAGCATCAGGCACAGGGTCACCGCTAATAGTTCCTGGGGAGGAAGAAAACAAAGTTAAGAGAGTAACTAACTGTACAGGGGTCGGCAACCCCCGGCCCGCGAGCCACATCCGGCCTGCATGAGGTTTTCGTCCGGCCCGCCAACTTAACACCTGGACACTAATTATCTAATTAACATTGAATACAGATGCAGTAGTCCACTACAGGGTTAGGCAGTCCCTGGAAAAGTTACTTCGTATCCTCCCTCAGAGTTTTCATTTGAGTTTGTTGTCTGGTGGTAAAGCATATTCCATTAATAATGTTTATTTAATTATTTGTGATAAATTGTGCTAAGTATTGTTAGAATTAGGAAAAAACTGGTTTAAAATAATGGCAACTGTGAGTTCGAGAATTTTTTTTATATTACATTTAATAACATGGCCGTCCCCTGAGAGACTGCATAGGTGTCTGGTCCTCAGTCTGTTAGGCCCTAGGCCTAACAGACTGGGCGAGTGAGCATAGTGGTAATCAGAGTCTTGCAGACTTAAAACCACCAGGAAACTCATTCTTGCAGCCATTACATGGTTAAAAGTCGGTTGCGTACACGGATGAATTCATTCGTTTTTTTTTTTACGCAGTTCTCATCTAAAGGGTTTCCGCTGAGTATTCATATACATGAGGATACATGAATGTTTCTCTTCGTGAGTCAGGATAATGTCACTTAATGTATTAATCGGGTATTAGATAATTAATGATATATTCCCGAATAATATTTGTGTAATGTGTTGATTGTGACTGCTCCAGGAGTGTATCTCTGAGTGTATGTATACTCAGAGGAGTGTATCTCTCAGTGTATATACACTCAGAGGAGTGTATCTCTCAGTGTATATACACTCAGAAGTGTATCTCTCAGTGTATATACACTCAGAGGGTGTATATCTCAGTATATATACAGCAGAAATATCTCTGTATATACACCAAAAGGAATATATTTCAGTGTATATACAAATCAAGAGAAGAGTATCTCAGTGTATATGCACCAAGATCTTTCAATGTATACACCAGGATGAATGTATCTCTCATTGTTTATACACAGAGAAGGCTTGACACACCTGTCAAAGCATTCTCTGCAAGTCACCTGTCAACCTGATGGTTGACAGGTAACTTGCAACCTTAGTGACAATAGCATGATAAGAGTACGTAACATTTTATTTTGTATATGTCACACACCGATATAGGAATGCCCTCCCGACCAGCGAACCAGCTGCTGGCAGTATAAGAAGCGGGGCCACCTTGTTGTCTTGGTTCATTCCAGCCAGTAACAAGGAAGCGTCCCCTCAAGGAAGGTTTCTTGATGTTGGTGAGGGGCTCTTGATTATAATAATAATAACAAGGAAGCGAGACATAAAATGATGCTGGAGACTTGTGGATCAAGGCTGGTCGCTCACCGTTCTCACTGTGTCTCTTGTTTACAAACTCGCGTTGTATACAGTGTATATACATTGTATATATACTTGCCTGCTATTTTGGTGAAGGGAATGAATAAGTATGTACTCACTGTTGACTTTGCTCGTTCCTCAGTCCTTGGTACGAACAGGTGTACAGGTCACAAGACTACACCTGTGCTCGTAATAATGACACTCCTGTGGTCAATTAGGTTAATAATTCGACCATTGATTTTATTACTGATTATAAAATGTATAACATTTCTTTTTCGCGTCTAATAATTATAGTAGAAATTTAACCAATTCAGCCTTTTCCCTACAGTTTAAAATTTCAGCGTTGAATTGTGTAGTAGGCTTATGATATTAGTAAGACCCAGTTTATTTTTATAATTATTTATGGAACCTTGAACTACGTAGTTAATACGTGCCTAAAAATTTCTGTGTTATGGAAAACAGCGCTATTTAAAACATTGTTTTAATGTGGTAAGACACATGTGCAGCAGTTAGGTATATTCCGAAATGTTTCACCTACACAGTAGGCTTCTTCAGTCGAGTACAGAGGAGGCAGCAAAAGCAGTAGAGATGTAAAGACGATGTAATCAGTCCATCATTCTGAAGACTTCAACGATGATGGTCTGATTACATCATCTTCACATCTGTACTGCTTCTGCCACCTTTTCTGTACTCGACTGAAGAAGCCAACTTTGTGGGTGAAACGTTTCAGAATAAAGTTACCTAACTGTTGCACATGTGTCTTACTTATCAACTTGTCTGTATTGAATATCATTATCATATTCACCTTGTTATAATATGTTTATTAAATAACCATTTGCATATGTTAGGTTCACAAGCTTCGTTACATGTACTCTTCTCACTCATAATTACGTTTAAAAAAGTACTCGTATGTAATAAAAAAAACTGCCGTTCACTACCGTACTACTGTTAAACGAAACATTTAATTGTTAAAAACCTTAAAATTATAAACCGTTCTATGACAAAACCGCGCTGTTCAAAACAGCGTTATACGAGGTATTACTGCACGTACACCGAGAGGTGTATACCTCTTACTGTATGCTGAGAGTTTACCTTAATCATTTACATGCAGCCTTCATGACCCTCGTCTAGTGATGGGCTTTAAACCCCATTAACCAACACCAAACAGGAGCGCTACAAGTACGCTAAGAGACAACACAAGTGTCAGGGGCCCAAGACTGTTCAACTGCCTCCCAGTATACATAAATGGGATTACCAGTAGACCCCTGGCTGTCTTCAAGAAGGCGCTGAACAGTCACCTGTAGTAAATACCTGACAGCCGGGCCGTGGTTCGTGTCTGTTTGCATGCGGCCAGTCCCTCAGCCTATTGTTCTGCAGTCTTCGAAATTATGTCCTTGAATTTGTACTGATAAAGTCACTGGATGGTGAAAGGTCTACAGTAAAGATACCCAGATGTTGCACAAGTGTCTAATTCTTCATTGTATACCATATATATACACCTTGTGACGAGTTTGTTGAGGTGATGGTGATGTTTTGGTCACAGTTGTTATGGCTCATTCAAAATATCAACGCAACAGTTTGCGTTAACGCAACTCCGTGCAGGAGACTCTGAGGGCACCGCTGCTTGCAGCGTTATACCCTTCGGTAGCTTTTCACCTTATATATAATGAGAATATAACCATTATTAATTAAACAATGCAGTACTTACCACTTTCATGTTGATTGAGAAGATGGCAGTGCAAGCACTGCTGACGACTCTCTAAGGCAGTGAGGATGCTCTTCCAGACTTATATACGCCGCCACACAGGTGGGAGAGCAGGGGACCCAGCCATACAGGTGGGAGAGCAGGGAACCATGATGGGGTCTCTGAACTTCTTCATACTGCAGCAGTTGCCACACTCTTCGAACATTTCCTGGCTTACTTTTTGTTTCGTTTTTATTATTATATCCCAAACTTCTTATGTTACTGCGTCTCTTTTTATTTGAATACGTCTAGCTACTTCTTTATCACCCTCCTCTGCTAAGTTATCTTTCCTTGACGATGTTAAATCTGTTTTTATCCTTCCACAACATGGGTGTGAATGTTGCATAATCACAGTTGCCACTTTGCAACACAAGACCAACGAAAACGATAAATACACATTTTTTTTTTGTCTAGGGAACTCCCCAGTTTAGTTAAAGTTAATATTAACAACAATATGATTTGTTTTTACAGTCTATTTCTTTAACAAGTGTCACGTCCATAATCATTTATTTTTTCTATATTCACGTGTGTTGATAGAGCAAATTCTGATTCATATCTTCGTCTCATTCTTTCATTTTTTGAGAAGCTATGCGTCTCTGAAGACCACAAGTGTATTAAAGATTTATATTGAATCAGTGGTAACCTTGACCATTTCAAGACTTAGCTAGATGTAGGGCATTATCGTATTATCAGAGTTAGTGAAATAACACCCCTAGAAACAACAGTATTGCTGAAAGTGCAGCAACTGTCTACAAACAACATTCCATGCTTGGCTCCTCCAGGCCTTAACATTACCAAGATCATCCCTTGTGTTTTACAGGTCATTGCCCCCCTGTTTTGCCTGACTCTATGAGCATGTTGCCTGACTCATCACTAGACCAGCACCAGGGTACATGTTTCCTGGTCACCACCAGAGTACGTACATGTTACCTGAGTCATCACTAGACCAGCACCAGGGTACGTGTTGCCTGGTCACCACCAGACCAGCACCAGAATGCATGTTACCTGAGTCATCACTACACCAGCACCAGAGTGCATATTGCCTGGTCCCCACCAGACCAGCACCAGAGTACATGTTGCCTGGTCACCACCAGAGTACATGTTATGATATCTTTAACATCGTTTGACAGAAAAGTTTGGCTCCGCAGTTGGCTGCACTTAAGGCAGGATATGATATGATGATGTAGGCAGTATTTAGCAGCGAGCACTTATAAGAGCGTATAGGTAAAAGAAACTCAAGTTTCCGTGCAGATGTTATTGTTGAATATTGCTGGGTGGGCTGAAGTGTAACACTGACGTAAAAGCATCTCGGGTGGGGTGTGTCCCACTACTGTGAGGCAGCGTCACACAAACCATCCCGTTGTACATGAATGGTATACAGTACCGACAAGATGAAAATTAAACACATATGCAACATGTAGGTATCTTTAATGTAGACGTTCCACCATCCAGTGGTTTTATCAATACAAATTATACGAAATAATTTGAAGACAGTAGAACTATATACAAAAGATGAGGTAAACCGTCTTCATTTCTACTAACCCGTTCCTTGGGTATGACCTACTTCTACTGGGAAATTCCACCTACCAGTGACAATGTCTTCGTCTGCTACCCGTCCCCTTTTTCACCTGAGGTCATCATATAACCGTCAACCTTCTTGTCTGTGCTCCAGATTCTTCACGACTACGGTGCTCTCAACACCAACTCCAAGACTGAGGGACTGATTACCTCGTCTTTTTGTATATAGTTCTACTGTCTTCAAATTATGTCCTAGAATTTATATTGATAAAGCCACTGGATGGCGAAACGTCTACATTAAAGATACCCAAATGTTGCATATGTGTCTAATTTTCAAACCATCCCGTATCTACCCTTCCGCCTCAAGAGTCCAGCAGTGTGGGATTGTTTGGTGACAAAGAACAATTGTTTGACCTTGTTAGGAATATTTTATTAATTAAGAGAGTACGGGAAAATGTGGGTTTGTTTTCTTAATAAAAGATTCACATATTGCCATAAATTTATAGTAAAATGTAGACATTTTTATAAGTCTGAGCCGAGCAAGTTGTCGCTGCCATGACTCGTCACAGAACTTATGTCACTTCAAGAAGGGCATGAAAAGTCTTGGTAAATAAGTTTATTCAGGTATACACAAATACAGTTCCATATCATACATAGCAGCATATGTGTAGAGAACCTGGGATAACCCAAAAAACGTGAAGCGACTTATTTCCATTGGGGTCCTTGAAGGCAGCATCCTTCTTTCATTAGGATGAAATATAACTACCTGTCATTCCTCAGATGTTTGACCTATCTCACGTTATTCTGAAAAATCAACAGCTGCTTCAGTGGGCGCTGGAAGAGAAAAATGTATCACAGGTCGTGTGTCCGGCAACCCGTGTGTCCTAGCAACTCCCAACCTGGGATACCTGTCTCAACCCTTAACTAGGTATACCAGTATCCGGCATCCCCCCAACCCAGGATGCCTAATAAGCCTAGCATCGTCATGCAATAAAAATAAATATCCTTCAGACATCGTACTTTTTTGGCTTAATAACTGATTATGTCTCCTGAATCAATTTCCTTGACCATGGCAGAGGTCCAGCTAGTTATGTCTTGTAATGTACCACACTGGTTGCTAGTGTGAGTAGGGTTGTGCTTGGTTATTTGGAACCTCCAGGGCGAACTAACAGTTAGGTGGGCGAACTAACAGTTAGGTGGGCGCCCACTCAAAGATTATTATTATTATTATTATTATTATTATTATTATTATTATTATTATTATTATTATTATTATTATTACCACTACTATTATTGCTATTACTACTGTTACTGATACTACTATAACTACCATAATAATCCTAGTAAAATAATTATTAAAAAATGTCAGATGATTTATGTTTTAAATTACGTATTCAATTATCCATTATTATTTTTCGTCCTAGAAGTATAAATTATTTTGTGAGGAGTCTAATATATGGGAGGGCCCTGGAGAATTGCTCACCATAGCCACCCAATAAATGTAGCCCTGAGTGTGAGGCTATTACCACACTGTTAGAATATGATGCAATGAAATAACTGCGAAAAGTTAATCTTGCAAATAAAGCATGTAGTAAGGTTCATAGAGCAGGGAAAGAGTGGACCTAGTAGCGACCAGTGAAGAGGCGGGGCCAGAAGTTGTGAATCGACCCCTACAGCCACAATTAGGAGAGTACACACGAAACACGCACTCGTGTGTGTGTGTGTGTGTGTGTGTGTGTGTGTGTGTGTATGTATATATATGGTTTAGAAAGACACGTAAGCAAACACTATGACATATTTATTAGAAAACGTTTCGGTCCTGGGACCTTGATCAAGGTGATCAAGGTCCCAGGACCGAAACGTTTTCTAATAAATATGTCATAGTGTTTGCTTACGTGTCTTTCTAAACCAACTTGTCGGTATTTATTACCAAGGTTTATATCATGTATATATATATATATATATATATATATATATATATATATATATATATATATATATATATTATATATATATATATAAAATATATATATATTAAAATATATATATATATATCAGGTAAGAAGTACTACGCTAGACAAGAGGAGGTCAACGACATCATAAAGAGAAGCCTTGATACAGCCCGTTGCCCAGCCCAGCGGGAACCCCAAGTACATAGGTCTGATGGAAGTCAAAAGCGTCATGATGGAGCCACTATGCTACCCTGGAAGGATGGTAAACAGATTGCCTGGGAATGTACCTGTACTGCCACATTGGCAGACACGTAATTGCTATACTCCTTAGCGGAAGGGGCTGGAGCTGCCAGCTACAGGGAGACCCAGAAGACCCACAAATATGAAGACCTTTTCCCTTGCTATAACTTCATCTCAGTAGGGTGGGAGACCCTTGGAGCATGGGGAAAATGTGGTCTAAAGTTCATCAAAGAGCTGGGTAAAAAACTCATCATAGAAACCAAGGATCACAGGGCGGCCAGCTTCCTCTTTCAGAGTCATTGTTGCGATCCAGAGGGAAAATGTCTGCAGCATTCTGGGAACACGACCCACCGCCGGGAGCTGGACGTAGCTGGATGTAGCTCTTGAGTTCTTATCTGTGTTGTTCTACTCCCTATTGTAGTTTTGTCAATGTATTTTGTCTTTAAATAAAGTCTACATAGAATATAGAATGTAGGAGGTGGTAGGAAAAGACAATATTCAAACAGCTCCTGGGAGAACCTTGAGTTTTCCCTGAAGGAAGTTTATTCTTTACTCTGAGGATGAGGGTCCCCAGCACAGTTCCAGTGCTTGTTAATGTTGAAGGTTTGATCTATAACTGCTGCAGTCACTGCTTGTCTTTTCTTGAATGCATAATCCATTTTGTGTATTATCTCAGCATCTTCCTGTATGATGGTGTGGTTGCAAGATTTGACATGGAGGATAACGAAGCTTTCTCGTCTATAACTAACCAATCGTTTATATTCATTTTTTTTCTATCTTGCTTGCTTGCTGTAGATTTGCCGGTATAATCGCCCGGCGAATCTACAGCAAACCCCCACGCACACTGAGTTCGAAGGGTGTGGAAGTTACATAGTAGCAGACAATGTCAGGAGGTGCAGAGGCAGCAAGCACTACAGGATCCTTTTGGAGTCACACCCCAGCTTTGGGCCGAAGCCTGAGCGCTGGGGAAGCTCAAGAATGCCTCTTGCTTTGTGTGTTGCTGTTTCTATTATTCACTTGTCCGTTGCACTCTGTTTTTTCCTATCTGTGGGAGTTACGACCTGTCTCACCAACCAAGAAAAACTATTCACAACTGTTACACAGTATTCGGTAAATCACTTAAATTTTAGCGGTCATATTTTTGTGGTTTTTGAAGCAGCAATTCCCAGGAGATGGTTATATCACTGATATTTTCTTATTTTTTTTTGTCTCAGTCTATTAGCGGAAGGAAATTGTTAGTTTAATTGTCGATGTATCCATCTTTTTATTATGGCATCAAGAATGTTTATCGAGACGGATGCAAGGAAAAAAATTAATTACATTATTCAGCCACTGAGATCAGATCACTGCCAGCAGATGTAATCACATCGTCAGCGTCTCGGAAAGAACACGAG